TTAATGAAAAACTCTTTGGTATTAACCAGTCAAGTGAAATTTCAGTAATGCAGAGAATGTCAACAATATATATATTTTTTTCTTTTGTTAGTGTACCCAAAGAAGAACTGTACACTAATGTGTTCAATTATGATTGCTCTTTGGTTATAACAGTATTTGTTTCTGTTCTAGAACACAGCGAATGAAAATACGCCTTAGCATTTGAACTATTTAGGCGTTGTTTCATCATTTTCATCATATTTCATTCATTCATTTCAATGTTACTGCTTTGTCTCTTTTATTATATGGTATAAAAATGATGAAAGAAGTCATCTTCTATATCTTCTTCCTGTGACTATGGACGAGAGCAACGTGTCAGGGCTTCGGTAACGGTCACCTTCCATATCTTGTTGATGGGAGGGTAACCACTCGCTTGTTTCCCGTATGTTTCCGCTCATTCTTGCCTCTCTTACCCTGCAAGCGGCACTTGAAGGGTAAAAGAGGCTACAAGAGGCGTAGGAATTCAAGGCACATGTCTGTCTGTCTGTTCTCTGTCTGTCTGTCTGTCTGTCTGTCTGTCTGTTTCTCACTCTCTCTCTCTCTCTCTCTCTCTCTCTCTCTCTCTCTCTCTCTCTCTCTCTCTCTCTCTCGGCGCTGTATAGACACTCCTCACCTCACACCAGCTATAGATGCCCCAGTTTAGGAAGATCGCTTACGTTTTACCGATCAAGGAGGAGGCGCTTCAGGAAGGTCGTAAAATTGCTGACTCGGAGCGGCAAGAGACGGAGGGAAGACGAGAGGGATGAGAAACAATAAACGGAGGGAAGAGGAGAGGAATGAGGAGAAGTAAGAGATGGAGATAAGAGAAGAGGGGTGAGGAGACGACGGCGAGGGCGTGGAATAGATAAAATGGTGTTCATGAATTTAAGTATAGAGGGCGGGAGGAGGACGTGAGTGGGGACTGTGTGTTCATATTTTTTTCTTTAAGGAACGGAGGCAAAACTTACGTATGGTAAAGCAAGGGGGTGAGGAATGGAAGGATTAGAAGGTGGGTTGTAAATTGTGGGTGGGGCGTAGGAGAATGGGCGTGGTTTGGTGGGGTAGAATCAGATACTGTTTAGGAGGCCGGTGGAGGTGTGGGAAAAGCGGTTGCACGTCGAGCGAGGACTTTTAGCATTTAAGAAGTACTGTGCATGCATTGAATATGTCGTCGCTTTACAATGTATTTTTTTTTCTTTTTCTTTTTCTTTCTTTTTTCTTCTTTCTTTTTCTTTTCTTTTTTTCTTTTTCTTTTTTTTTTTCTTATCTTTTTCACTGTCGGGTATTCATTATCAATAGTGTGTGAATCTAATGGTCATATAGTATATTTTGTATATCAAGTTGCTGTAAATGGAAGTTTTTAAAGTATTATCTTTGTTATTATGTGTGTGTGTGTGTATGTGTTATAAATCATATATCTATGTATATATATATATATATATATATATATATATATATATATATATATATATATATATATACAGAGAGAGAGAGAGAGAGAGAGAGAGAGAGAGAGTGAAGAGAGAGAGTGAGAGAGAGAGAGAGAGAGAGAGAGAGGGATAGATAGATAGATAGATAGATGTATACACATACAAACATATATATATATATATATATATATATATATACATATACATTTACATACATACATATATGTATATATATATATATATATATATATATCATCATCAGCCTGGGTCAATCCACTGCAGGGTGTAGGCCTCTCCCAATCTTTTCCATCTTTGTCTGTCTTGCGTTTTTTGTTCTCAGTCTTGGCCCCAAATTTCGCTATTACATCGCGCTATCTTGTCATAGTTCTGGCCCTTGGCCTCTTTACCTTATCTATAAGCCAGTCTGTTAGTTTCTTTGTCCATCTGTTGTCCTGTCTCCGACATATATGACCTGCCCATTGCCATTTTTTTCATTTTGATGCTCCCGAGTATATCTTCCACTTTTGTCTGTTCTCTAATCCACGTCGCCCTCACACACACATACACACACACAAACACACACACACAATCCGCAGTCAGGAGGATTTCCAGTTGCCTTCCATGTATTTTTTTTTCCTTATTATCATCATTACTGTTGCCAAAATCTACGGGTGTTGTGGATACTTAGCAATATGTTCATCATTATCGTTCGATATATTTATCATTCATACTGTTGTTATTAATGATAATGTAATTATGGTTGATGATGATGACGACGCTTATTATCATTTCATGCTTTATTACTACTAGTAATAGTATTATAACTGCTACTACTACAATTATTACTACTACCACCACTACTACTACTAGTGATAATGTTACTATCATTATCTTTATTATTACTATTATTGTTATTATTATCATCACCATCCTCTTTATCATTATTACTATCATCATCACTACTATTTGTATTATTGTTACTATCATTAGTAGTAGAAGTAGTATTACAGTAATGATTTTAATTTGTCAGTGGATTTGTCTCAAGTATTTAGCCTTGTCTTTTATGCTCCGAACTCCCTTGTACCGGAGTAAGGTGCCAAGCTGCCTCTTACCTTCTCTCACCATAGAACAACGAGGTCTCCGATGTATATATACTCGTAAGGTTATCTGAACAAATATCAGAGTCTAGTTTCACTTACAGGGTTACACCTAATATAACAGCATTTACAGCAGTAAGTACTAGTTCTTGCATATTAGCGGTCTTTGATGCATTACAGTGCATTTTCTTTACATGACGTCCGAATCAACATGAAGCCTCTGAGTTCATTTCGCCTACAACTCGGACCAGCAGACACTACTAAGAAGCTTCATGAGAGGTAGGTATACTCAGTGACTGGCAAGCGGCGAACACAGAAGATTCGTGCACGAAAGGTGTGAGTAAGAATAAATAATTCCATGACAGAAATGTTTCAGCTGACGTCAAGATAAAACAGTCTCATCACGTCCTCAGTCGAGAGTTGCAGCCTCATGACGTCCGTGAAATACCCCTTATTTGTTGCTTGGTTAGGCTTGACGTGAGACACGATACATGTTGCTTCTATAATGCTTGTTTGTTTGTTTGTTTACACAATCCTTTTTCAGAGATCACTTTTGGTTCACTGTCTGGTGGATGTCCTGCTTCACTTACAAGAACCACATTGTCGTTCCGCGGTACGTAGTGACAATCCTCTGCTCGAGGTCGCTTATTCTATATCCGTTCCCTGTATCATTGTACAGTACGTTTTCCTACTTGCTTCTCATTACTCACCGGTTCTATTTTTGTGTCTTCTGTTTTAACGATTTTTATTGCACTCTCCATGGGAAATATAGAACCTGCTGGGCACATTAAAGTCTTGTACAGGGAGGGAATCGGCTCTGGTTCTGGTTCTTTTCAGCCTTTTTTTAGTAAAGACCTTGTGGATATAGTTCTATTTTTGTTGGCTTCCTGTACACAGGTAATCGCAAACCATCGACCCCTTTGTGGATAGTGTCGTGGCCTCTCGATAAGGTAGCTTCTGGGCTCTCCTCTTTGGTAACTGCAAACTGCAATGGCAGCGTTTGACGCAAGCATAACCTCTAAATGACTACAAGGACGTCATCAATATAATGTATGCACGTAGAATGTCTGTCGAAGATGCTTTGAATTCTTGGCTAGATCGTTAATCTGCTAGTACTAAAAGCCTGGGGAAGTGTGGAGTTACTATTTCTCATTCATGCCTATTGAGAACCAGTAACAATGTGATGTTCTGTATTCCTTTTGAGTATAAAGAAGTGATTTATAAATATTGTCATCTTACTCTTGATATTACTAAAAGGAGATGACGGGTCAAAGGGTGGTGTTTTATAGGCCTTTACATAAAACAATCCGTGCTGACATTTTCCTTGGTAAAATAGACGGTAGTCTGGGTTTGATAAGTCATATTCAGTTGGGAAATGCTTTTCTCTTCACTTGTTTAAGCTTTTGGATCGATGTAAGGTAGAGAGGTTCTCTGGTGGCATTAATGCATAATGTAATAATCTTTTGCAAAAAGAAGGGACAAATAGGAGAAGGGTCAAGCAATATCGACAGCGCTGGATAAGGTCCCAGTCCTTTCTTTAGATTTCCTGTGAAGTCTTCCTCGTCTTCAGTCAAACTGAGGTATTCTATCGGTGACAAAGACCTAGATTAATATAATTTATGTGAAGCTTTGGTAATGAGATGTTTTGCGATTTGAGTACTTCGATAACGCATGTTGAGAATACAACAAGAATTTATTGCAATCTCCCCTATGATAAAGATTTAAGATAAAATTCAAACTTTTACTATACATCAACTACTAATTTGTTTATTAGATGATAAACAATGTGGGGTAGTACGTCCCCTTGAAGTGTGCCAAATCGAACACATTACACTAAGAACTTTTAAGTCTCTTTTAGAAAACCAGTGCATATGAAGATGCATCTGAAACTAGTGCACGGTTATCAAAAGTTATGAAAATCGCCCGTAGACTTTTGGCGAGCCATGAAAACTTTAATGATATAAAATAGAATCCTATTCAGTTACTACAACCGTTTGGGGAAAGTCATGAGAATTCGTTCGTCAACACAACCTGTTTTCGAATGATATGCTTTCTTTTGTAATAACAACTGAAATGATGGTGATGAAGATAAATATAGAGACAACGATTATAGCAAAATGAGACAATGACGATGGCGAGGACAGAAGCTGGTTGGAATTAACATAATTAAAATCGATTTGTTCTTTATTCTAATCAAAAAGTTGCAGTGGATTATTTAAATAGATCATTCATTGAAATTAAATAAGACAATATCCTGCGTTACTCTTGATTTACAATACATTCTCACTACTGTAACGATAACTCCTTCAAAACGAATATTACTAGAATTGGTGAAGAAATAAACAGTGGATGAAGATGTCCCAGTAACAAAAACTATCACAGAAATCTCAAGGAATCTGGCAACTCTGGATTAAGCTGATAAAAAAGGCGGAGGCGCAAGGCTGAGGTTGTAGTT